AACGACAATGAACACCTGAGTTACGATAATTCACCTTTTCCTAAAAATTCTCTCTCTCTCTCTCTCTCTCTCTCTCTCCAGATCAATCTTTCCCTCTCGATCACCAATCCTGTTTTTATTATTAGTAGTATCTTTAGCATTTTTTTTTACTTTGTTTATCGTTATTACTATTGTTTTTAAGGGTTGGTCAAGGTTGTCTCTGATCTGTACAGTTAATTTCAATTCACTGTACTAATTTTTTTTTATTCTCTTTGTCGTTTTCAGTCCAGTGTCACGTGTTTTTGTTTTTTTTTCACTTTCCAGGTCGTTTTTATTCACTTTCCTGATCCTTTTTACACGCACCACCAGTCGTTTCTATCCACCTCGTATGTCAGTCCCACGACCTTGGTATATGCCCATGCAGCAGCCATCACGTGCCATTCAAGAATTTAATCCGACCTCTGACTTGTGTTTTCAAATGTCCCTACGCTGAGTATTTTCCTCTCAATGTACACTAGAGTCTTAGCAATATTTCTACGTCATTTGCCTTTTATCCTTGGAACTTAGCATAAATGGATCACTTGAAAGGAAGTTGAATCATTAGGGTAAGGAGTCACTTTGTATTTTGTTTATGTAAGTTGAGGATATTTGTAAGGATTAGTGTGTGTGTGTGTGTGTGTGTGTGTGTGTGTGTGTGTGTGTGTGTGTGTGTGTGTGTGTGTGTGTGTGTGTGTGTGTGTGTGTGTGTGTGTGTGTGTGTGTGTGTGTGTGTGTGTGTGTGTGTGTGTGTGTGTGTGTGTGTGTGTGTGTGTCCCTCCTTCACTATCTATGAGGTTTCTTGTCCCTCTTGGTCCACCTGTCACAAAATAACAGGTGTAAAGATCACAATCAGAGAGAGAGAGAGAGATGGTATCACTGGGAGTCGTGGATGCAGGTGACTCCCTCCGCAGTCAACCTTGGGGAAGTGACGTGGTATTGCGTGCGAGTCTCGTCTTACAGTCAAGGAAGGAGGAACATACCTTGTTATTATGAAATCAATGGTACATTACTTCTCGTTAAGGTTGTGTGACTAAGAGAGCTTTTCTCTTACGTTTGACTGAAAGATGATGAGTGATTGACTTTTTTTTTTACTTTATTTTTTTTTTTACTTTTGAACGCAAGGTCTTGAAGTAAATTAGAATATGCATGATTTTTGTTTTCTATTATGAAAGTTCAAGTTGGGTTCATAGTTTTAGTTCTAGATGGAAAATTAATTCTTCTGAAATGAAAGAAAATAGAAATGACAGAGAAGACATGAAGATTATATAAGAAAAAAAAATATTAAAAGAATGAAGGACTTAACAGATTAATGTGTTTTGGTAAAGTTCCGGGAATGTTATTGAGTGTTTTCATACCTCACACACCTACACACACACACCTACACACACCTACACACACACACACCTACACACACACACACACACCTACACACACACACACACACCTACGCACACACACACACCTACGCACACACACACACACCTACACACACAGACACACACGAGAGAACATTATGCCATATTTTGTCCTGAAACTCCTTCGTATGTTTACATAAGCGACGTGTCGGAGTCTAGCTGAGAATTTATCCTGTGTTTAAGCGACCCTGGAATACCCCGTTGCAGGTGTATTTGGTGTGCAGGTGTGTGTGTGTGTGTGCGTGCGTGCGTGCGTTTGTTTGGTGTGTAGGCGTGTTTGTTTGGTGTGTAGGCGTTGATATGTGTTTGTTTGGTGTACTGGAATGCGTGTGTGTGTGTGTGTGTGTGTGTGTGAGCGTATGTTTTGTGTGTGGGTATGTGTATGCGTAATGTACAGACGTTTGGTTGTGTGTGTGTGTGTGTGTGTGTCCTAAGAGGCAGCTTGACAAGACTGAGCTAGGATGAGAGGAGTCATCATACGGTCCTTGAGGGGAGTAGGGGAGTATACATTAAGTCCTTCTCGAGATAATGACAAGGGGCGCCCTGACAACTCTTTATCCAAGCCGGGGTGAAGACGCTTATGAGAGGAGATGGGGAGTGGGGATGGGAGGGGAAGATGATGGGAGGGAAGGGGAAGATAAAGGAAGGGGAGGGGAGGGAAGGGGAAGATGGTGGGAGGGGAGGGGAAGAGGTAAGAAGGGAAGAGTCAGGCAGATGGGAGAGAAAAGGAAAGGAAGGGACGAGGAGGGAAGGAGGAGGGGTAGAATAGGTAGAGCGGTATTAGGTAAAGAGGGAATGAGGGGAGACGGGAATAAATGGGTGAGAGGGGAAGGAGAAGAGAAAAAACAAGGATATGTGGGATAGCAGGGAATTGACGAAGAAGAAAGAGGACAGAAAGACAGATGAAGGGAAGTATGGGTAAGTAATATGGGCTAGGAAAGAAAAAAAAGGAAATCAAAATAGGAAGCAGGGAAGAGAAGGGCTAGAGAATAGTAAGGGAGAAGAGGAAGAGAAGGGCTAGAGAATAGTAAGGGAGAAGAGGAAGAGAAGGGCTAGAGAATAGTTAGGGAGAAGAGGAAGACAAGGGGAGTTTAATTTCGAGGGAAGATGAAGGTAAAAAAAAGGGGGGAAGAGGTAGGAAAGGGGGGAGGGTAGGTAGGAGGGAAGAGGAAAGGGAGAGAGGGTGGGTAGGGTGAGGAAGGGTATTTAGAAGAGGAAGGGAGAGAATAAGAGCGGGTCGGTGAGTCAATGGTTTAATTACACAACTTTGGTAATGATCCTTGAAACAAATGATGCTAACGAGGCTCTGCTTAAGGCAGAGTCCTGGTATAGGGGAGTGATGGAGGGAGTGATGGAGTGTTGGAGGGAGTGATGGAGTATTAGAGGGAGTGATGGAGTGTGTGAAGGAGTGTTGGAGGGAGTGATGGAGTGTTGGAGGGAGTGGTGGAGGTGTTGGAGGGAGTGATGGAGAGTGATGGAGTGTTGGAGGAGTGATGGAGTGTTGGAGGGAGTGTTGGGTGAGTGATGGAGTGTTGGAGGGGAGTGATGGAGTGTTGGAGGATGGAGTGTTGGAGGAGTGATGGAGTGTTGGAAGGAGTGGGGAGTGATGGAGGGAGTGATGGAGTGTTGGAGGGAGTGATGGAGTGATGGAGTGTTGGAGGGAGTGGTGGAGTGTTGGACGGAGTGATGGAGTATTGGATGGAGTGTTGGAGGGAGTGATGGAGTGTAGGTTTGTTAGAAGTTATGCTAGGTTAGTCCAGGGTAGGTTGGGTCTCTCTAGGTCAGATTACGTGAGGTTAGGTCAAGGTAAGCTAGGTTAAGTTAAATCAGAGGCTCAGGAGAAACATTGGACTTAACAAAGACGTGCAAGGGGGTGGGAAGGTTTCGGAGGGCGTGGGAAGGTTTCAGAGGGCGTGGGAAGGCGTGGTAAGTGAGGGTGGCGAGCATCAGGTGAGGGAGGTGGTGGGGTAACTGCCCGCGCCACCTGTCACCCTCCCCCTCACCCCTGTAAAGTATGACTCTTGTAGATCTGAGAGATTACTCCACACAGCAGGTGTCTCTCTCTCTCTCTCTCTCTCTCTCTCTCTCTCTCTCTCTCTTTTGTCTGTCTGTCTGTCTGTCTGTCTGTCTGTCTTCAAACTCTCCAGCTACCGTACAGGTTCGTCTTGTCACCCTTGAAGACAGAAGTCCTAAAGAGTCTCACGTCTGGAGGCTCATCGATTTTTTAGTCGAGATCGTTTAAAGGTGATGAAGGTTAGGTTAGGTTAAGGTTGGGTTAGGTTAAGGTTGGGTTAGGTTAGGTTAGGTTAGGTTAGGTTAGGTTAGGGTTGGGTTGGGTTAATTTCCCACCTGTAATATTTACCTCTGGATCTGTGAGCGACGTTTGATAATAATTGTCTTGAAATTTGATTGTTTATTTTTTAATGCTATTTGAATATACACTTGCCTGGGGTTTATAATCAAGCAATTTAGATTATCCCAAGTGTCTCTACATATTAAGTTTCCTCGTTCAAGATTAATCCCACCACACGCGGATTACTGCTTGGTTTAACATCGCTGTGTTAAGAGGATATAGAAAACAAAAGATTTTTTTTTCAAGCGACACATTACCACATTTCAGCGGTAACTATATTAACTTACATTAATAGTATCACTAGTTCTATATTTATCCTTTCATGGTAACGGTTCGTAATGGTTTTCATCAGCTCAGATAATATATATATTTTTTTTAATGCTCACCTTTTTCTTTACCTTCTCCCAATCAAACAGATTAAATTACGTTATATATCTCTAGTATATTTCTAATTTATGCTCCCTGGTGACAGCAAAAGACGCTCACGGACGCTAATTTGGTGGAGCGTGTGAAGAGTGTGTGTGAGCGAAGCGTCTTACTGTGTAGTTGAACATAATTACCAGAGTTTTTCCAGTAACACACAGTTGTTATCACACCGAGGACGAGTCGCTTAGTCCTTACCTCACCACCCCTACGTCACTCGTCTGAGAGAGAAATAAACATATGATGTAACTCTCCTCCGTCTCCCATTGTTAACGAGATCTGTGTTACATAAGGTAAGAGGGGGAACCTATCTCCAGTGTTACCTGTGCGTGGGGGGAGGGGCGGTTCGTTCATTTACAAACGTGGAGACTTTATTGTGATAAATGTGTAGCTTCCCTGTAAAAAAAGATTATAAATTGATACAGGTGACGTTTCTACATGCAGAGAGTATATACGAGTCACGTTTAAAACACGTATACAGGTATCACATCCACTTAACGTACATGACTCCTCTATATACCAATATAAAGGTCCTCTCCTACAGTAGGCTCGTGTCCCGCCGCAGCGTGGTAACGTCTACTCTGGGGACATAATGGCCTCTTAAGAGAAACGTGTCATCAAACCACAACTCTCGGATTACACTACATTTTTTTTCGTTAATGTCTTTTTGGGCAAGTTTTGTATAGGTTATAGGAATATTTTATTATTGTTGTCTAAAAAAATAAAGAAAAGTTGTGACCATGTTGCCCGCAGTCCAGGAAATAAAAGAAATATTTGCTTATTATCTACAGGCCCGCCGGACCCGCCCAAGAACTGCTCCATCGCCAACCAAACGACAGACACCATCGAGGTGGAGTGTGTGGCAGGCTTCGACGGCGGCCTTCCCCAGACCTTCTACATGGAGGTAAGTCTGTCTTTAGTAGTACGGTATCCTCTGTCTCGTGCTAAAGCGTTTTAAGCACCAACAATAGGATGAGACAGGTTTTATTGGTCAGTACAACATTCGTCTTGCCCCCCCTTGTACCATAAACATTAACAGATATAGGTTTCACATCGTTAGTTCCCTCCTCCGTCATTTCACCCACCAATCTCAGGGAAAACATTACCTTCTCATCCCCACACCCATCCGTAAAACCCTCTCGCTCCTCACATAAACTTCTTGTTATTTCACTTGGCTCTGTTTATCACATACCTTCCATCTAGGTGTTTTACTGCACTCTGTCTGTGGGGCGGGGGGGATGCGCATGTGTGTATAACATCTACACAACGTCAAAACAATCCTTGAAAGTTACCTAATCCAGATTCAGGTTACGATTCCATCCAATTTCAAATTCACGGCCAAAACACTCCAGGTGACCTGGGAGAAAAATCTCTCACTCAGCATATGAAAACATCAACTCTCACACCTACCGGGGAAGAAAAAAAAAAGCCCAGACTTGAGTTTCATGTAACACAGGGTAAATCGTTTCACGTTAGGCGATTTTTAGGGAAAGTCTCTGAAGCCGGTGGTAAAAGGACCTCAGATCACCTTCGTGGGGAATATAGGATACGATAAGACGTTATTGAAAAATTCATGAGTAGAAACGTAGTATTGCTTCACCAGAATGAGTTTTCCATATCGTGGGTCGCCTCACTTGTGGTGCTGTACATGAAGGAGTCATTGGGATTTGGGAAAAGAAATTTGGCTCTAGGACACAATTACCTGGAACTAAACCCGACCAAACTTACAAGAGTAGTCTGCTTTTGTGTGTACCTTGTTATATATTATTTGGGATAATGACTTGCTAACGCTTCTGTTTACCAAGGAGAGAAGACCAGTGTCTATTCTATCATGGTTATATATCTAGTATTGATTTCTCTCCCTTGGGAAACATATGGAGGCAACTTTAGGCCTCGCGCTACAGAAATAGAAATGGTGGTTCAAACGGTGTCAGGGCAGGAGTATAGCTGCTGGAGTTAGTGTCAGGTCCTGCCCGGCTGACGGGAATTTTAAGAGGGTCAGCTTCTACCACTTTGAAATGGGAGCTTGTGAGTGGCGGACTATTTGCATGCTGTGTAGGGTTGGTCGTGGCTGACACACCTGGCTCACCTTCCCCGGCGTTGGTGTTATGTGACAACGCCACCGGTAACAAATGCCAGGCGAACTTTCGTCTGGTATAGGATTCATATTTGTATGTGATTACAGAAGGTGGATGTGAAGAACAGGCCATGCTAGTCTCTGGCAATAGCGCTCTTTTTATATCGTTAACATGAAGGCTTGGCCCGGATACAGGTCACTTTGTACACAGTTGTTTTTTCGTACAGAACTTAACTCATATCGCGCGCGCACACACACACCGTGTCTCAGAACTCAAAGCCTTTGTCAGATAGAATCATGAATAGCCACACATTAAGAGGATAAAGCTCCGTCCTTGTCCATCAGATGGCTAGTATACGTGGGGGGAGGGGTGTGGGAGGAGACGTTTACCATTAAGGATAATAAACAACACATTATCATAGAGGATAAAAGTGCCGATGACCAATTACTAAGGGCGACGGGGACGATGACTACATTATCCTACACCCACCAGGTCCTGTGAGGCAAGATTAATTTTCAAGTATATAAAAGTGATTACTTCCTGTTCCTGAATTTTATATGTAAGCACAACGATGTTTATACATGAATTATAAGAAAAATATAATATCATACACGTCAAAATTCAACAACAGAAGGTAATCGATCAAAAGAGCAAAGGTGAATAAACACAGCCTGAGAGAGAGTTGCAATACGGACTAATTAAATTTCTTCACAAACATGTACCAACCAACCCCCCTCCCCCTTCTTCCCTCACCTCCCAAGAGAACTGAACTGACTGTACACCTCGCATAGTGTTTACGTTTAGGGTGTGTGTGTGTTTAAGGTAAGAAGAGAGAGAGAGAGAGAGGGGGGGGCAGAACAAGGTCAGAACACAACAAGGGTAGTAGTGTGAGGTGAGGACACGGTAAGATGGTGGTAGTGTGAGGTGAGGACACGGTAAGATGGTGGTGGTGTAAGGTGAGGACAAAGATGTGAACAGGTGGTGTGAAGTGGGGACAAAGGTGAGGACTTGCTTGTGGAAGCTAATTACTTCACCAGCAGGAGGTTAATGAGTTCACGCTCGGCGCCCGCCCACCTACACCCGTCCTGCTCTACCCACCAACTCCCTCACTTCACTACCTACACCCACACTCTCACTCCGCCACCTACTCCCTCACCTTCACCTCACCCACACTCCACTACCAGTATCCTCACCAATACCTACACCCCACCACCTCACCTACACCCCTTCACCCCTCCACCTACACCACTAAACCCCACCACCTTCACCCCACCACCTTCACCCCACCACTTCACCCCACCACCTACACCACTTCACCCCACCACCCACCCCTTCACCCCACCACCTTCACCCCACCACCCCACCCCACCCCCACCTACACCCCTTCACCCCACCACCTGCACCTTCACCCCACCTACACCCCCACCTACCCACTTCACCCCACCACCCCCTGCACCCACCACCTGCCCCTTCACCCCACCACCTGCACCACTTCACCCCACCACCTGCCTTCACCCACCACCCCTTCACCCACCCCACCACCCACCACCCCCTTCACCCCCACCACCTACACCACCCTGCACCCCTTCACCCCACCACCTGCCCCTTCACCCCACCACCTACACCCTTCCCCTACCTGCCCTTCACCCCCACCTTCACCCCACCACCTACACCCCTTCACCCCTGCCTACTGCCCCTTCACCCCACCACCCCCACCCCTACTGCCCTGCCCCCACCTTCACCCCCTACCTTCACCCCCACCACCTACACCCTCACCCACCTGCACCTTTCACCCACCACCTTTGCCCCCACCACCTGCCCCTTCACCACCCTACCCACCTTCACCCCACCACACTGCCCACCCCACCACCTACACCCCACCCCACCACCCCCCACCACCTGCCCCTTCACCCCCCTACACCCCTGCCTTCACCCCACCACCTACACCCCACCACCTACACCCCCACCACCTACACCCCACCACCTACACCCCCCTTCACCACCCCACCTTCACCCCACCACCCTGCCCACCACCACACCCCTTCACCCCACCACCTTTACCCCACCACCTACACCCCTTCACCCCACCACCTTCACCCCACCACCTTCACCCCTTCACATACACCCCTCGTCCCTTCACTTATAATCCGCGGCTTCACTCGTGTAGTGAATAAAAAGAGTAATAGAATTAATCCATCACCCGCTGTGTTTTTTTGTACAGCGTCCAGAGCCCCGCGGCGCCTGGCCCTCCCTCGCCGTGCAGGGAAACAATCTGACGCCGCTTCCTCCCGTTTCTCGTTATTTTATGTTTTTTGCCACGTGTGTAATTACTCCTGATCTCTATTCCATCGCTGGTGGAATCACTGTATTATGTGAGTAAGTTTATTAAGGTATATGTAACCATTCAGTTCCTTTTACATTTTCCTGGCAAAATTGGGATCATTTTTTACGGGATTGACCACTTGTGTTAAAGTATATACGTCTATTAATCTTTTTTTACCCATATTTCTTAATGATGGAATCATATGATTGTGTGTAAGTATTTTAAGTTATATATTACGTTAGTCAAGTTGTGTATTCAGTCATTTCACGAAATCCTAGCAACTAAAACCTAACCTAATCTAACCTAATATGCCTGAAATTTTCATCCGTCGAGTTGTGTAATAGTAGTGCCCTGTTTCAGGTCATTTCATGAAATGACTAAAGGTTATAGGCTATATGAATTTGCGAAATGACTATAAAATCGTGAAATGACCGAGTACAGTACACAGCTTGAGTGTAGCCTGTCGTATTTATTCACCTTCTTTTATTTTTATGTTTGAATGATGATGACGTCACCTAAACAATTATGTTAAGAAATACAGTCGTGTATTGAGCAATTTTTACACCTGTTTGTTTTATTTAGTCGATAATATATTATATAAATAAATTACTACTTTTAAACTTTTTGTCGGTCTTGGCATTACTTGATCATATAGCTAAACATATATAAGTTAATTAATGTGTTTTATGTGTTTTAACTGGTATTTAACGCTGTTGGAATTAGTTAATCAAGCAAGTAGGCGTCCTGTCGACCAGTATCTCCCGCTCTACACCCAGGATGAGGCGCTGGGTGGAGGCTTGTTTTTGTCCGGCAGTCCCTGTACGCGCTATGACTCATTAACATAATGAATTATGCAGACAAATTCCAGCTTGTTACACAGATTGACTTTGACATATGCCGTCTACGCTGTGTTATGAAGGGTGAGAGATCAATGTTACAGGGAGCCTTAATTTATGAATATAAGTTGACAGAGAGAATAATAATCCTGGAGCTTTGTATCTATGTGTCTGTCAAACGCCTCACCACCTGCCACGACTCCAAACAGCTCTTGTTCATTCCACTCACGCCCCCATGCGTCCTAGGGTTCCGTTATAAAACCCTCTACTTTTACCGTCTAGGCAGATGGCTTCCTTCCCGTCACCCTACTCCCTTTTATTTCACTCTTATTCACTCTCCTCACACTTCCCTCCTCCACCATCACACTTTCCTCTTTTACTTCACTCTTATACACTCTCCTCACACTTCCCTCCTCCATTATCCTCACTACGTGTTCTACTGTGTGGTCGTGTCTCCTCAGGTGTACGACTCGACGACAGGAACGCTACACCGCAACATATCGTCTGGGGAGCCGCTGTTTCTCCTGACGGCGCTACGGCCCGGCCTCGCCTTCCTCATGGTCACCTACGCCGCCAACTCCAAGGGCAGGAGTGACGCGGCCCAGCTTGAAACCTTTACCCTCAAAGTGGCTGAGAAGCGTACAGGTAAATTAAAGTAATGCACAGGTAAAGGATCGTTAAACTTAAGTAACGCACAGATTCGTTTATCATGTAGCCCATTAGCTTAAGTAACCACAGGTAAGGGTTCGTTTAATATGTAACTCATAACCTTAAGTAACACAGGTAAAGGGTCGCTAATCTTGTAACTTTTCAACATAAGAGGTTCTTGAAAGTGCCTCACGTAAAGGGATCCCTAAATGAGAAACTTTGGAGCATAAACTTATTAAGGGACAAAACTCTTAGCGACAAGAGAAAAATTTTAATCCAAACTAACTGAGAAACCCAAAGGATATAATTTCCTTGCCAAGACATTTTTTTTTTATAGACTGATGTAGTTCAAGACACACACACACAGAGCCAAGGTGTTGCTGAACTTTGAACCTATTTATGCGGTCACAGTAAAGTAGAAGCTGTCACATGCAAGACCGTTTATTGTCAAGAGTTACTATATTGTTATTATTCTACATTAACATTCCATTATTAACGTTACCGTAAAGACACAGTCGTTCTTCGTCTCTTTATTAGCAACTATCGTAAACTTTGAGACTTAAGTACTTGTTAGTGGCAGTATTTCCCTTTGATGTATAATTGGAATATTAGTCTCTGCACTTGTATATTACCTGTATGATCCATTTGTTTGTTTATAGCGTCCCCATGAGAATACTATTTAACGTTTGTGATATTATCCCTTCTCTTTGTGATATATTTTTTATTTTTTTTTAATTATTTTTTATTTGTAATGTTTATCTGTTTCCATTACGCTTCCTTGCAAATTTGTTTGTTTATTGTTGGGTTATCATTCTGTTCTGTCTTCGTGCATTTTTTTATATCTTTTGCTTATGAAATGTTTATAAATTTTCCTTATTTCAATATTTCGTCATTGTCTATATACAGTAGTTATTATATTTCCAGACATTCTCGTTTATTCCTCCTACTTTACTCCCGTTATCAGTCTCACTCTTCATTCTTCTCCTCTTCACGCCGTCGTTCACAGGTCCTCCCGCGCTGCTAGAGTTCACTCCTTTCTTGGGCATCGTCATCGGGGTCGTCCTTGTCATCTTTCTGGTCGTCATCGTCATCATCATCGTCTTCAAGTTCCGGAAACCACAGTCGAGCCAGGAGGATGGTGCCTCAGGTGACCAGTTCAAGGGCGAGCTAGAGAACAAGCCCTTGAGCGTCGGGGTCTTGAGGGCGAGGGTGAAGGAGGGTACCAGTGCCGGGGACGTCGAGGATAATGACCCCGATCTAATACCACATAAGGCTGGTGAGTTGACGGATATGTTTTCACGTAAGATTAATATAATTGGGATTGGAAGACGCATAGGATCAATGAATTAGGAGAGTGATTAGGTAGCATCAAGGACAAGTTTGTGGTATTCAGTACCAGAGAGCTGGTGAGTTGGGGGAATTAAGTATCACGTAGAACAAGTTTGTGTGATTCGGTGACCCAAATGGCAGACAAGTTAGAAAATTTAGATGGAGAGGAGGGAAGGTTTATGGAATTTGATGTTAAAGGGACTGCGTGTTGCTCCTGACTACTTTAGTTAATAGTGACTCGAGATTTAGATTCTCTGAAATGACATTAATTTTTTTCTTGAGAGAAGAAAACGAAGAATAAGTACAGGCTCCTCAATGCAATTATACCGAGAGTTTGTTCATATATTATCTAGACAACAATATTCTAACTGTGTTCAAACCGTCTCAAAAGTGGCTAATCATAAACTTTACCCTGATGGTCGCTACAGCAAAAGTCTACGGTATTGACGCGCCGCATTTCACTATCTCCTGCCCCCGCCTCTGCACTCACCAAGACGCCTCGTGCTGACTGCCCTGATAATATCCCCTGTTCTTATCATGACTCGTTATACTTCACTGTCAAGGGGAGGTGACAAGACGTGTCTAACCTTCTTACCTTATCGTTTGCTTCTTTCTTTAAACATTTAAGTCTTCATTAAAATTATCATTATTATTATGTCATACTTGGGTATCTTAGTCACTCACTATTTATTTTTATGGAATATTAGTTGTCCGTCAGAAATTGATGGTTATTTGAAAGTATTTTGATGAACTATATACACAGTTTAAGATAAGCAAATATTTGTGTCTTTTAAGTAAACAAACCTCCGTCTTCTTTATCTTGTTCCTAAAGCCGATGCTACAAAGTATCCCTATCGCGCTTTAACCCTTCCATTATGATGCTAACTCCTCAAGGGAACATTTAAGCGCTTCAAATGACTAAGAAAATATCCTCAAGGGATTAAATTCCATAATGAAATAATTTAGAAATTCGAAATAAATAGTACTCATTTTTCCTGAAGCTCCGATATTTCCACCAGACAGATATTTCTTGCCTCACTTTTCTTCCTCATGACCATCGTTTGTTGCTCTCTCTCTCTCTCTCTCTCTCTCTCAGTGACACTACATAGTTAAGACTCCCTACGAGTATGTTGGTGACAAATACCATAACTCTCCTCTCCTCAATAATAGGTATTTAAGGAGTAAATGATTCGTACTCCATCTCTTCCCCATTACTAAGAGAATGGCGGCCATAACTCCTTCCTCCTCCACAACATGACATTACTGGCAGGGAGTTCACCGATCCATAACTCCTCTTCAATACTAAAGTGTTTCATATACATACTCTCCAGAGAACTCACCATTTTCACCATCACTGTCACCATCATCACCATCACTGTCACCATCATCACCATCACTCCACCATCACTGTCACCATCATCACCATCACTCCACCATCACTGTCACCATCATCACCATCACTCTACCATCACTGTCACCATCATCACCATCACTCCACCATCACTGTCACCATCACCATCACTCCACCATCACTGTCACCATCATCACCATCACTCCACCATCACTGTCACCATCATCACCATCGCTTCACTGTCACCATCATCACCATCGCTTCACTGTCACCATCATCACCATCACTTCACTGTCACCATCATCACCATCATTCCACCATACTTCCATTGTATTTAAAACATTGAACCAGTTATTTCTTCACTCTCCCACGACAGACCTGATGTCATATCCACACTACGAGACGATAGAGCGAGAGGACACGGGTCAGCCACAGTTCGGTCAGGCCTTCGAGGTGATGCCCACGGTTCGAGCCATGCCGCTACAGGTGAGCACTACAACCAGGTGGTCGTTAACTAGGTGTCGTCAATACCGGGTCACCTGCCTTTGTTAACCCTCCCTAGAGCACCTAACCCTCCCTGCACAATGTCTCTTCTTATATTCAATGTCATTTTTAAGCTATAAACCTTCGCTCGCTGTGTTTAGCTCCCTACTTGACCTCGTTATATAGTAAACTACCACACACACATAGTTTAAGTATATGTGACATTAAACAGAGTGTGCTTATGATCTACTGATGGAAAATATTTTCACATTTATGTAACATCGCTGATGAAACTAAACTTGAAATAAATATTCCTTTATCATATTTTGTGTTGGAGGCACGCAGTTATGTCTGATGGAGAGGTTAGTTCTCTCTCTCTCTTGCTCTGTTAACACCATTATTATTATCCTCAAACTTCTGAGTCAGTAAAATTGTCATACATAATCACTACCACTTTTCATTCATGAAAATTCTTTGATTGCAAAACACACCTAAAAACTGTACTATATATTATAAGTTTTGTATGGCACAATATTATATAAAGTGATGAAGCTTGACATTCCTTTATAACAGGAAACAAATTACATTTATATAATATATATATATATATATATATATATATATATATATATATATATATATATATATATATATATATATATATATATATATATATATATATATATATATATATATATATATATATATATATATATATATATATATATATATATATATATATATATATACAGATTCAGCTCAACACTTACAGTCAAGCTGAGAAGCGTTATAATGTATGCTAAGTCCCACACTCCATCACGAAGACACAATTACTTTGGTATGAAGCACATATTGTTATCAGCACAGCACCTGGCATGACCTGTACAGTGTAAGGCATCATCTGGGCGTGAGGGAGAAACATAAGGTCACACTCTCACTTCATTCAATAATCATCATAATTATCGGTTGACTATATGACACCAATTTTTATTTGGATAAGTACAAAATACATTTGTTTTCCTCGGGATGAGTTATATGGGAATAATTTAAGAGTTAGATCAAACAAAATTCAGTTTTTCCGTAATATTGGAAAATTATGGCAATTACTTCTCACTCACATCCAGAGCTGTATCAGACGGCAGCACCTGAGCCACTAACACCCTACACCGCACAGACCCACTCTTGTCTCTTCTCCTTTATTCATTCATACTAAGTTATGGCCAATGAAAAACCTGCTCTCACTAGAGACACTGTTCTTGATGGGTATCGTCACTCTACTTAAGGAAAACAATACTAGCACAACTGGAATCATCGTGGAATATTATAAGACCAGATCGATTTACAGTCACACCGGGGCGACCTCTCTAGATATACGCCGCTGCCTCACAAGAATGGGTCTGGCGCTCAAAAAATTAATTACATTTTTATCCACAAGGTTAGTCTGGCAAGGACGGATACTTTTGGCATGCTGCACTGAGAGAGAAAGATAGCACACACACACACACACACACATACACACACACATGGAAATGGGAGTGATAAACTGGGTGGGTGGGGAATGTGTGTGTGTGTGTGTGTGTGTGTGTGTGCGCGCGCGCAACAGGTGCCGTTGTACCCCCAGGATCAGACAATGCTCCGTTCAGCTGCTCCATGTCTTGTCTCGTGCTCAGCCACATTGCCTTGTTACACACGGTGAATCAGAGGTCCAGACTCTGAGGCAGGTTGCACTCTTTATCTGTATTCCACCAAATGTTGAAATTACATGCCAGTGAGCCTCGAGTTTCGAACAAATATCAGGTCTCTAACACAAGCTTGGCTGAACACTGGTTGACATTTCCTGACTAGTATTGACCGAACATGAAGTCAGAGGCTTATAACTCGCCACCACTCTGAACATGGCCACTTGGCGGAGGACCACCAGACTGGATATGTTAAGCAACGTTCAAGTTACAGATGTGTTCTGTATATGTAGTTTAATGGCGTGATAATCGAACATTTGATGAGTTCGGATTTTTATTCAATTTAAATCTGAAATGGTAAACTGATCCAAAGTAAACAGTAATTATCTTTAAATTTGAAGTCTTTAAAAGTACTTGTCATTATTGATCTCATAATAGATGAACGAGTCAGTGAAATAAAGCCACACCTCACCTATTGACGAACTGTTATACATCTTCTGAAGGACAAATATTACACATACTCTCCATCACAAAACAGTCAGTCACTATTATATCAGTATCTACATTAACTAAAGCAGTCACATAAACGTACATACATCCTCAAATAGTTCAGAAGGTACAGACAGACCTTAATCAGCACTTGCCACATGAGAAGAAATTTTTTTGTTAGGGGAAAACATCAGTCGGAAGTAAGCGAGCGTTAGTCAAGGTGCCAGTGTGGTGTTTAGCCCAGTGCCTGATTTATTGTGACATCCCTGACATTTATGATATATACATGAATCTCCAGAGGCCCTTACCCAGCTCTGCACACAACAGAAACACGATAATCATAAATGCTTAACGAGCCTCTGTATTCGACAAGAACACGGAAGCAGAAGGACCAAACTCACCTACTGTTTCGTTAAAGCAAAGATGACTTTCGTGAGGTCTTGACAACATGTACACGCATGACGGTGCCTTGACAGTCGTGGTATCTTTGCATGACACCAACTCAGCTTGCATGATCATCCTGTTCACTTTGTAATACCACTTTTATTGCACTGTTTTATGATGATGCCTCCTTGATGCTTAGTGAGCCTGGTAGTGACGAGCATGTTATGTTAACTAAATTGGCGCGAGTAATGCATCTGAGACTGTGTACGTCCTTAACTCGTGTACTTCACATAGTAATTAGGTGGCGGCAGATATCAATAACGGGTCAATGACGTGTTGCCATTGATGTTCTAAATGTAACGCTTTCAGTAATGGTCATCCCTCCCCTATAAACACTTATAATTAAGCTATCGAGACAAGGCTAGCTATTTCATTTCGTTATTCTAATAAATATTTCTGCTGTGTGAATTTATAACTTACCAGTTTTGACGTTACTCATATCTTGGTGATTGATAAATTGTAACTAAATCACAAGATTTTTTTATTCTGTGATTATATTTTTCAGGTTTGGTGAGGTCATGGTGGACTCACACGTTAATGTCGAAATCACTTCAGAAATCTTTAAATAATACAACGTAGTAATCGCAAAAGCTTTTCTAAGATGTACCCAGAGTTAAAAATCCATAATATAATGTGATTTTATGCGTCAAAGGTAGTAGTAGTAGTAGTAGTAGTAGTAGTAGTAGTAGTAGTAGTAGTAGTAGCGTGCCTGCAATTGGAAAAGGAATATCCTGTGTATACGACTGGAGTGAAAGTTATTTTCTACTTGTGATCAAAATTTCACGAAACGTAAGAAAAAATTATTTGCTAGACAATTTCTGAAGGTCACCACCATTTACACGTCGAAAATTGATTGATGTTGGTGGCTGTTCAACCAATTGCAGGTAACAATCAGAAGGCGAATTGAGATGAATAAAAAACAAGATACTAATGACACACGATGATCTTTCACAGCGAGCCTCGTTCAGGTGCCGGATAGAATAATTGAAACGATGGTTGGAGATGTTAGTTTGTCGTATTCTCCTGATTTTGTCCTTGTGTTTATATCTATCTTTCTAGATATAAAATTAGCCATAAGTTAAGGGGAGTCTATATACAAACACGTTCTCCAGCCATAGGTTTAAATCAGCCTTTTAATTATTTTTCTATTATATTTTCTCAACTATACTATACATGTGTGTGGTATGCCCGTGTAACTAAGCCCCAAGACGACATGTCCCCATAAGCCATTGAATATGATGATGATTTAGCCCCTTCAATACAATGTCATCTTACTCAAGAGAATAGGTTGTTGTCTTATAATGATTGGGGGCATCAAACTCAAGGAGGTTAAGTCATTGTACTAAAGGTGTTCAGATATAAGACTCATTGTACTTAATAAGGATGTCAAGCATTATACTCAAACGGATAGTCCTTCCAATTTGTGTATTATTTATTAGAGAGAGAGACTCATTAACGATGGCAGTTGAAGCACCTAAAACAAAAGCTAACAATAACAACGTGCTATTATTTTTATTGGTATTTTTGCTCAATATATTCCTAATCTTCTTCTCCACCAACCATTAAATACTTGCCTTGAGTTTTAAGACGTTAACTGATCTTACACACACTTTTTTTTTTACATCCGTCCTGCATCTGTTGGTCAGGCAGAGTCGCTGATTGTGAAGTAATGACCTTTCTGGTTTTAAATCACTTTAGGAAATTTAGGATAATTGTTTTTATTTCTATTTACTTAGTTTTCTTAATTCTATAGTTGTGGATCGTTGTTTTTGTCTTTTTATTTTTATTTTTTTTTGGGGGGGTGGGTCATCGTAGCTAATTTCCTTGCATATAGTGTCACCATAAGGTCGTTTGTATTCCTTTACCGTTGAAATTCATTACACATGTTACTATATTATATTATTTATAATCTTGTAAAAATCGTATAGTAAGATTTGAAAGTTTGATGAACATAAATGGGAAAACTTAAAGGTAATAATCCTTTCCAAAATCTATGTGACTGAACCTTTGCTCATATCTGTTGTGTTGACCAGCCGACGCCGGACTTAATTTTACTCCTCAGAGCAAAACATTCAAAAGGCATAAGTGGATATTATTAATAATATCCACTTACGCCTTTTGAATCTATGATACTTATAATTATTACAAGTATCATAGATTTGTGATCCTGAGTTGAGTAGATTTTTAGCATCATAAACAGTGGCGGCATTGTGGTGCGTTTTAGAGTTTAGAGCTGTACTCGAGGAACGTCCTGTAGAAGGTAGCGAGTAGACGAGTTGTGTGCGGAAAGTTGAGATGAGCTCGACTCTATATTAAGAACTTGATAGTGATATATTGTATAGTTGACCTTCTAGTATACTGGTGATATGCCAAAAAACATCCGGAAAGTTATTAGTCTTAAGCATTAGCATGACAAATAAGATTCTTTGAGATTTCTTTCCCAAATATGTCTTGTATGCTCTTCCTTCAGCATAATCAGCCTGGAACGGGCGGTGAGGTGACCTACGTGGAGTTAGCATTGCCTCTGGAGAACCAGAGTGCCGGCTATTCCGTTAGCAGCGGTGGTGCTGGCGGTGGTGGTGGAGTTGGCGAGCCCTGCATCTATGCCACCATAGACCACAGGAGGAGCCTCTGCATCAACCCTCCCACCCATGCCGTCGCCGCCCCCTCCAACGACGCCGTCAATTTCTACACGCCACGTGACTACAGGAGAGGACACCCCAACTTCCACCACCACGCCAGTAACCCCAATCTGTATGCCACGTTAGACCATAGGCGAGGGGGAACCACCACCACCACCACCACTACCACCACCAACCCCAACTTATACGCCACACTACCACACCGGAGGGACACCTTTGTCACCAGCATCAGCACCACCAACGTCAACATCTCACCGCCAGGATTTAGAGACATTAGGATGAGTTTGCGGACTCCTTTGGTCAGGAGGCCGAGCGAGAGTGCTGTGTAAATAAGCGTGAAAACACTTTCATACTTTCACTCTTGTCAGTTGAAGGTCTGAGCTCCAAGATCCACAGACATATGTTAATAGAAACATCCTGTGACATTACTGATGACTGACAGGAAAGTTACATTGTGGTTACTGACAAACTAAATGTTTATGTGTATTCGTGTGGACCTGAGCCAGACTCCCTCACAGGCTGACCTAGAAAGTGAAAACACCAGTGAAGTTCCGAGTGTGAGGGTAATAGTGTTGCAGGGATACTAAGGCCAAATTTGACTAAGATGATACCGTGTTTTGACAACAGTATGAACAAGCAGTAAGCTATTATTTTCCATGCTCTTCGCCACTTCTTACACACTTTGTTTAATAGTGAAATATAAAAGTTTTCCCTCATTATCAACCAATACAATCGACGATACGAATCAGTTTGCAATGTTTTTTTTGTATGTTTTATCAGTGGTGAATCTAATAGCTCACTGAATCTACTGTATTTTTGGTATGTCATTGCATTTTGTTCCTAATCAATGTTTAGAGGTGAGTGGCAGTAGATGGTGCGGGCAGTCGGCGTGAAAGTGAACCTGAGGCAGCATCCAGTAGGCACGAGTCTGACTCTTAATTCGCCTCCATTGTGCGCCACTTGTATAAATACTGTATATAATTCAGTGTCTAAATGTACAATATGTATTTGTTTATATAATCCAATGAAAAAGAAAACATGGTGTCCAGAACATGACGGAGACAGAGGCGGGTTTCTGTGAAGGTGTGACTTTGATTCCGTCTGAGAAGCTAAGGGCGGCCTGTCCCTCCTTGTCACCAGCAGAGAAGAGGCGTGGTCTCTATGTTTGCACTTCTCCCAGGATTTCGTCGTGTCAAGAGAAATTGTGTATGGTATTTTGGTTTCAAAATAAATGTAAATACTTGCACGTATATTTTCTACTTAGAACATTAGGAGACAATTGCAAAGGTGAACAGTTAACAGTGAATATATACATAGCAATTCTATCGCCATTCATTTATCAGTGGGAAGTTTGTGCGTAAGACGCCTCTGATATCGAGTCTTCGAGTGTGAGGTACGTGGTGATGCTTCATGGAAAGTATTCGTGAGAGAAAAATTGTGGCCTAGAACAAATTAAGGTATTATTATTGTTTCGGTCATCCAGCGATTTTTAGGGTTTTAAGTTTTGAAATCAGTAGGTTAGACAGTTCTAAAACACTTTTCTTCTACAGTGTTTCTTCCGCTCATGATTACTTTCAGAGAAAATCGCAATAAATTGTTGGAAAATCATCGCATTTTTTCTAAGTTCTTGTTGATGATACCGCCGTGTGTGAGAGCTCCTGGGTGTTCGTATGTTGGTTAGTATGCTGCATTACGCATGAGTTGGAGTCTGACACATGCGCAGTTGTCCATTGGACGTTGATTGATGGATATGATATTGGATCAACCAATCACAGCTCTGTATAGGCCCCCAGCGACTACCCCCTTGAATTTGAATTTAGTTCAAAGATGTTTGTGAAGGGATCTCAAGGAGTGGGTGAAGCGACCTGGCAACAAGTGCCCCTACTTGAAGCAGTACTTGGCGCGCTACTTGTTTATCGCAATATCGCGCAGTTCAGCCAGCAAGGTCTAACCCCGCAGTCGGAGAAAAAGCGGCCAGTATGACCTGTGGATGACGAAGAGGAAGATCCCGATGACCCCAACTCAGAGTCTTTTGAGGCTAATTAAGGTAAGCACACAGGCGGATAAGTTAGGGTTAGATTAAGTTAGTTTGGGCTGGGTTGGGTTTGGGATTATTCCGACCTTAATTTCTATCTCAAATTACTATTTAGGGAGGATTTTCCCCACTCAAAACACCTGGGACCCACTGGGGGTCTCCCATTATCGTTGGATAAGGGGGGAGGAATTAAAAAAAAATAATGATTAGCGGTAGAAATGAAGGTCAGGCGAGTTCAAAATCGGTCAAAAACCATCGTAAAAACGCAATTTCAACTTCCAACAACTTAGGAAAAAAACGACAAGTTTTTTTCATTTTTTGCGATTTTCTCAAAGTATTCATGAGCGGAAGAAATGCTATAGAATAAAAGTGTCTTAGAATTGTCTATACTACTAATTCCAAACTTAAAATCCTAAAATTCGCTGGATGACTGAAACGATAGTTTTATCTCTAATTCTGTCATGCCAGAAAACATTGATGCTCTTTCAGTGTAAATCTCATTTATTTACCCCGAGTATAACTGATTCTTTTGTTATAATATTACTGCGCTTCAACAACTAAATGTCTCTATGCGCGTAGCAAGGTTAGTAAAGAACACTATTACATCAACAAATAAAAACAGGATATAAAACGCTCTCAGATGTTCAAGGTAATTTGGACAGGAAGACTCATAAATAAATGATAATCTTAGAAAGTTTAAATGTAATTACTGTACTCCGTTTTCATTTACACTATTGTTCAATGGTTCCATGATCATTACATCTTCCTCGGAACTGAAAACGGGGAAAAACCATCTATACATATATATTATCTGGAAGACATTTAAAGCAACCAGTCAGTAAGAAAAGTCAGGCTTGAAGAATTTCCCTTAAAAGAAACAAGAAAACGATAACAAGAAACAGGTTATTTGGGAGTATACTAATTTCTGGACTCAACCAGCAAGTTTAATTGGAGTAACTGAACTGTGTATTAATTAATGATTATCATGATACGGGAGCCTAATGGACTTTACTCTCTTTCACACTCATTCATTTTCATTATTACAACCGACCCGCTCATTGTTCCTTGAATATTACTGCCGTGTGTGTGTCTCCAGAGTGATTCCTGAGAAATATATAAGTATACATTGTGTGTGTGTGTGTGTGTGTGTGTGTGTGTGTGTAATATCTCTTCTTCTGTGTCTGTTTTACTTCATTTCATTATTATTATCCTAGCCAAGTAACTTATCCTAATCTAATCTAAAGTAACCTAACCTAACCTTGCCAAGTAACTTAACCTAACCAAAACTAACAGACACACCTACACCTATTGATACCACCCACGTTACCATCACACATTGCCAGCCTTCATAATGATACAAAAAAATTTTACATAGTGTTTTCCCTTATTACTGTTTATCACATCTATATCTCACGAGATTTCTACCACTGCAACAAAAACATCAACAGCCAGAACTAATGATACTTGTCTTGTATACATTGTAAACCACTACTGGATGTTGCTTTACATGTAAAATTCCATTATCATCATCTACCTCCCTCCCACCCTCTCCCTCCCACTCTCTCTCTCTCTCTCTCTCTCTCTCTCTCTCTCAAAAAATAATTCCCAAGGTTCTTAACGCATCTTAACGCCGTGAGTGCTCGTGCATGCCTCTGAGTGAATGATTTAGTAGCGTTAATTGGAATGATGTGACCCAACTGACCTTTGTATATTTTGTACAGACACAGGTAAGGGACAATCGTGCCTTTTGCATACTTATATTTGGGAACCATTTTTTTTTTTTTTGTCTTCTCAGTGTGACGTCAGTAAATAAAAGATGGTAATTTGTAAAAGTGACTTTTATTTACATACATTTATCTACTTTTTTTGGATAATCCAGACGACATTTACGATTAATTAATCTTTAAGAAATGTGAAAAATTCTAACAATGTCAAAACAAATTCCAAAAACTTCAGTAATGTAAAAATAAGTTTTTAAAAAATGTAGAAAAATTCTTTAAAAATGTCAAGAATAATAAAATGAGAATTTCCAAGATATTTTCAGATAAAATTTCCAACTATTTCTGTTTTTCCCAGTCCACACATGTCGGTTTGGAACACTTTAGTGACGTGTGTTTACTTCCTGGTGGTTTCAAGGCAGAGCAGTCTTGGGTGTGACGTTCTCAATGCTAGTGCCCATGAATATCTATAATATATCGGTGCCTCATTCATACCATCTATTCCACAGTTACACCACCCATGCCTCAGTTACACCACCCATGCTTCAGTTACACCACCCATGCCTCAGTTACACCACCCATGCCTCAGTTACACCACCCATGCCTCAGTTACACCACCCATGCCGTGCTCCGACCATCACCTGGGGGAGAGGTATAGCTTGTGAGTGGTCAAAACTGTGTATGTATATCTGGCCAGCCTAACTGTGAGTCAACAGTGAGCCAACTCTGTCCCGCCTTCTATTGACTCTTAACTAACTTTTAGATGGTGTCGTATCACCCATATAGCTCCTGCCTTTACTATGCTCCTCACACACCACATACAACTGCCTTGACACTTTTCTGCCTAATATTATGTAAGCTAGACGTGTGTTGTTTGTGTTGATATTTATTTAAGGGATTTCCCATAACGCAACTCTTGTATTCGCTTATCATAGAGCAACTTGTCAACTTTTATCGTCTTATTCTCTTGAACAGCTTGAACGAAACAACTGACAGATAATATTCCAAAATTCTGTATCTTGTTCAATCCTAAGGGTGGGAGGAGGCGGCGGCAATTGCTGAGACACGACTGGACAAGCACTGGGCAGAATACATTTAATCCCACAACAATGAAAATATATTAAATGAAATCCATCTGAAGTATTCTATGTTTCTCGCTCCCCAGTACTGTAACGCCGTGAACAGTTAAGTGGTCTATGTTCCTCTCTCTCTCTCTCTCTCTCTCTCTCTCTCTCTCTCTCTCTCTCTCACGCACAGTTCTAGAAACTACCGCACTAAAAATACACTGCACTGCAATCCGCGTACCGCTTCCCTCCCCACTAGGTATAACTAGTCTCCACAGCAGATGACTGACTCTGTAAAAACAAATACGAGTTTCAAATCCCTGGACTCAGTTTTCCGGGTGACTGGTGACCTTCCTGTCCGAGCCACTGAATATTTTATTGCATATATAGTACAGATGACAGTTGTTATATATACAGGTATATATTGTGTGTGTCCGTGTGTAGTAAAATATTGACAGGTGAGACGCGATTCCAGTATGCAGCATCGAGGAAATCACCAAAAACTGTACAGTACATAATACGCATTCAGGTATTACACTTTAATGAACTCGGGTGTACAACACAAGTGACTTACATCCTCGGTCACTCTGTTAGTGAGAGGAATGATTGCCTCTCCAGCTCGTTCTCACCCACATCCTGTTAACATTACTTCTGTCCACAACCTCAAAGCAACTCCCTAACCACCATATCCTGACATAAACCAACAACCCACGACCTTAACTACCAACCCTGGTTATATCCTATGTGCCAACCTCTCCCATTCGTTTCCTCAGATAAGTCGTCACACCTTCAGGTCAACAGCACCTCAGTCTCACGCCCAACACCAAGCCTGATTAATAAGTGTTTTCTTGGTAGTTTCCAAAGGCTTCCTCAACCAACGCGGGTCGTTCACACCATCACGTTGTGTTTTGTATAATACTTGCCATTATTTTTCACCTGTCTATGCCGGGACCACAGGTTTCTCACATCCAAGAGAGAGAGAGAGAGAGAAAGAGAGATATCTTTATCAAGGGCTCTATTATGCTCTGTCTTGCAATCTTCCTTCATTTTCCGCACATGACTGCTTTCTATTTACCGAGTATCTCCCAGCACTTTCATCTCTTCTCTCTTGTATTACTTCAATCTGCTTTCACTCCCTCAACCTTATTCAGCGGCATCTTATACATCAATAGTTTGTTTCACAGTTTCATGTAATACTTCATAGTGTATTTTTGTGTAACACGGAAGGGAAGGTGGAGTTTGTAAGAGCTGGATGTGGTGTAAGAACCGAGTGAGAAACGAAGATGAAAAGCAACGGAAAATACAGTAAAGATTTGTGGGAACAGAGGGTGAATAAATAACAGGAAGAGAATTCATAGGAGATAGATGAAGAGTAAAAGGTGGTGAGAGAAATTGAGGGTAAGGTGGAAAAATCGAGTGAGGAAGTG